AAAAGTTAAATGTTATCGTTTACTGAACAGCGCATTATGATCATCAAACGTTTGAATTATACAAGTATAATGTTCCTTGTAAACTCTCAATATTCTATATGACGCTGTATGTAAATATTTTACTCAAGTCAGATAAATAAACTGCGGGCATGATCTATAGAAAATATTGAATTCTCATTTACAGATATTGCGATTGCAATCATTAATAGCAGAAAAGAATGAGGAAGTTGCCATGCAAAGTGCTGAAGTGGAGCGTTTGCTGCAGGAAGTGACTGCAAGAGAATCGCACGAAAAAGCGGTATTTGTCATTTTTGTACTGCAGTTTTTCGATTGATCAACTCTTTTCAAATGTTCCATTGTGAAGTTGCGAATTCATCTTTGTCATGCATTAAAAGGAACGCATAGTTCATTATATTATATTATACTTGCTCACATGAGTGAGCATTTTCAAGCGCCAGCAGGTACTCATCCGTGCACATTGGAAAATTTAAATACATGACGAGAATGAGCAGCCAGCAGGGTAATGCCCCACAATTTATAATAATCGTTTGTGAGGATACTGCGATGTGTGTAAACTTATGATGATTGAATGAATACATTGATACAAAATTTGCATTCCTCAGATTTATGGAATTTATTCACGTTCATCGGTTATTCGTGACAACATAGCGATTTATTGCTCATCAAAGAGAATCAAACACTCAGGATGCATGCTTAAAAATATGCGAAATTGCGAAATTTTCTTCGAGTACCTTACCAACACATATGGAATTGGAACGATTGAATTGATCATTTTATGGTTTCAGTAAAAGTGACCAGATATTGAGTGATATGAAAAGAAATGTGTGAAGTATATTTTATCAAATGACATCAACGTATTGTTGTTGCAGTTGAAAGATGAGAATTTGGATTTGCATGAGCAACTGAACGATGCGTTAGCGCAGCATGAGCAGATGACGGCTGATTTTCTTGAACTGCAAGAACGATACACAGAAGTGATGAGCATGCTGCATGACACTGAAGAGGAACTGCGCACATTCCGACAGAACCAGAAGTCGCATCGGTCCGTTTTTGTTGTATTTTATTTTATTCATTCTTAATTTCATGTTACGTTATCAGAAGCACTTGCAACGTTACCTATTCTTGATCGTTTTGGGTGTTTCGCAAGCCAAAATCTAACTGTAAGTGGTGATCGAAATTTTGCGAGTATTGTAGCGTTTGTTTAAAGCACTTTTCCAGCATTGCTCTAATCTCCATGATAGAACATGGTGGCTTAGAAAAATCGATTCATCAACGAAAAACCCTAAAAACTCACGGCGACAGGCAAATTGTACATTTCTGTTTGACCGCTTCTGCGATTACAAAACGCTTCGAATGAATTTTTTGAATGCTAATGGTTTTTTCGCTCGGTTTTAATTTGGTTTATTCTTACCAACTTTACGAGCTTCCTCTCATCCATTGTTCTGGCGAAATTATCATTGTACATACCATGAATTTCCGTTATTCGTTTAACGAAGACTGTTATTTTGAATTGGTTGTTGCATGGTTCAGCAAGGTAGATGCGTTTGGTTTGTTCAGTAACCAGGATAACTCAAAATATCTCTGATTTCGTTTTTATTACATATAATTCCATTTGCAGTGCCGCAAGTTCGGATTCATTGTATGATTCATTAGCTAGTGAACTCGAGGCATCCGATAGTGGCTTCTACAGTACTATGAGCTCCGCGAGGTTCGTCTGCTTATGGTTTCCTTAGTTCTTATTTGTGTGCTTTCATGATCTTTTAATGTTCTAAGATATGTATCCGTAGCAATGATCGCATCAGTTTCGTGGTAATTTATTCGTACTTTCTTGAGGTGTACCAAGAGTTGAGATCATCTTGTGATGATCTTGCAATCTGGCAAGATTCATACTTTGATTCTCGCTAAAATTTTTCTTTTCCAAATAATCATTTGGATTGGTCAAAAATACAATTGATGAATTATTACGACTGATTGAGAACATCCTCTTCAGAAGTGAAAGTGGTGGAGAATATGGAAGAACGGATGTGAAACGACTTCACATTGAGCTGGAACGGATTCGCTGCAAGGAGCCAAATGAACCTCTGATGGAAGCTCCATCTGTTGAACGAGTCGCCGTCGCTTCAGAAACCCGTTCGGTGGCTGTTTCAACTGATCACCTTCAGCAACCAATGCTAACTTCAGCAACTGCCCAGACTTCACCGGATGGCCGGTTACGACAACCCTCACATTGCAGTGACGACGTAGGCTCATTTCATAGACCTTCTTTTCACGGCATCAACCTTATCGTTAGCATTTGGCGTTTTCTAACATCCACTCATCTCATTGTATCAGTTGTTAATTGCACTGCAATCGCAGCAATTATTTATGCGATCGTTCGCTTAATTTAGCCGAACTTTTTTTTNTTTTTTTTGTAGTCGCAATGTATGGGGCTGGAAATGCGAGAAATTTGAAGGTTGAAAGTACCGAGAAATCTCATTTGCAGCCCTGAAATGTGAATACCTCAGATATTCATATATATCCTCCTCATGAAACTTTTTATGCATTTTCTCCTTCTTCTGTCCAAATTTTCTGTTGCTGGTTCAGTTGCATTGCTCGTTTTTGAACGACCATTAAGCGTACTCAGCTACTGTTTAATTTCGTCACCTTTTAAGCCTATTTTTTGAATTTTTTGTTTTTTGTGTGCTTATTTGAACATTTGAATGTGATGCTGATCTAATTTAGAAGATCTAGTTCACATGTTTTTTAACGGAGATACTGTGCTCTTCATAATGTGCAATACATATCCCCTCAAACTGCATTCAACGTCTCCCAAAAAGTTTCTTTCGTCTTCTTTATTTCTTATGCAACCACATACGTCGATCTGAAGTCTGAAGTCGAACCCCTTCTCATCGGTTGCAGTCCTTCGTTGTGTATCGTCTTTGGTCTTTGTTTTATTGCAATTTCTGAAGTCGTGCACTGTTTCGGATTGTGTTGACTTATGGAATGGTGTTTGTTCCTTTGTTTGTCATGGATTTCGTCCAAACTCATTGAATGCGCCGATGAATCTCAGGTTGGATTTGTTTACCAAAGAAAACTTCGACTTCGCTTCAGATCTAACATATTCCATATATTTTTTTTGTTGACCACTCGAATTTGGTTCACTTTAAATCACAATCTGAATCTCTGGAAAGGTCACTTATTCAGTTGTTGATTTGTTTTGTTTTCATGTTGTTTTGTTGTTTTTCTTGAATGCTACTGCCAGTTCACTCACTCTTCCGACTCAAAAATGTAACTGCATTTTGACTGTTCATTATTCCATGATCTGTTTTACGCATTTTATCATTGTATACACTGTAATCGATAAACAGTTCACTCTTCAGTCGTTTTTTGCTTATTGCAAAAACATTTACGTTTCACAAAGAAAAAAACTGGGAGGTTACGCCATTCAGGCATTCTTTAGGTATCAGTTGCAAATTTGATTTTACTTTCATTCAAAAAGTGAATTGTGAACGTAGTATTTGAGGTGACATTTGAAATGACTTCAGTTGAATAGGTGACAGAAGAGTGAATTGTCAACGTAAAATCTTCGGTTTAATGAACGTTAAAAGCGATCAATGACAGTTTCCAATCTGCTTTTGATCCAGATTGATGTCTCTGAAGTATCGAAA